ATTCTCAATTCCGTACTTCTCAATTCCGTACTTCTCCTCAATTGTGTTCACTTCTCCTGGTGCAGCTTCAACCACCTGTGATCCAGATCCCTCTCCACATGTATCCCGAAGTAGTACTTTACCTCCCCAAGGTTCTTGCACTTGAAGTTCTCCATCAGCTGCTGCTGCACTTTATGGATCTCCTTCATGCTGCTGCTGAAGAGAAGAATGTCGTCCACGTAGACCAGAAACAACACCAGCTTCTCCCCCTCCCCCTTGAGAAAGAGGCTCTCATCACAGCTGCTGGTCCTGAATAACATCTCCTCTAGAACAGCTGCCAACTTCTGGTACCAGCAGCGTGGCGCCTGCTTCAAGCCGTAGATGGACTTTTTCAGCTTGCACATCCTGCCCGTACCATCCTCATACCCAGGTGGCTGCGTCATGAACACCTCCTCCTCTAAAATCCCATTGAAGAATGCCGTTGATATATCCATCTGAATGATGAATTTCCCACTAACGGTTGCATCTGCCAACAAGACACGGAGGGTAGGGGGTTTGGCAGTGGGAGCAAAGATCTCATTGAAGTCCCGCTTCTCCTTCTGCATAAACCCCTTAGCCACCAACCTACTCTTGTAGATGGTGACCTGCCCCTTGTCGTCAGTCTTGATCCTTAGCACCCACTTGCATTGTACCGCTTTCTTTCCCTCAGGCAGCACCACTAGTTCCCAAGTCCCATTCTCCAGCAGGCTCTCGTACTCAGCATCCCTAGAAGCTAGCCATTTGTCCCTATCTGGTCCAGCTAATGCCTCCTCCATGCTAGCTGGTTCTTCTGGTGCAGGGGCAAGAAAACAGTACGCAGGCTCATCCTCCTCATCCGGGTCATAGCCATGCGGTAGAATCAGCAATGCCTCCTCGGTCCCAAGCTGCTGCTCCGCTACATCAGCTCCTGCAGTCAGCTTCTTAGTAGCCATACGGGTACGTCCTGGCCTGGAGACGGGTGTCTCCCATCCCTTCATAACGACACCCTTCGGCTTCTTAGTTTTCCCCTGCTGCTGCTCTCTCCCCTCAGATCCAGCAGCTCCACTAGTGCTACCGCTAGTCTCCACACCATCATTTTGTCCACCAGCAGGTGCCTCCTGTACCTTCTTTCCATCACCACCCTCTGCAGCTGCCTCCTCTCCCTCCTCCCACACACTAGGAGTCAGGTCCAGCTGCATGGTGATCTGCTCCATCTGCTGGGACACCCTGGCCTCCAGCTGTTTCTCCCAGCTCCCATACATCATGCCCTCAACAAACTTCACATCCTTGCTGTCAAACAACACTCCCTTGGAAGGTTCCCACAGCAACCATCCCTTGCTCTCAGCAGCCAGCCCGAAATGCACACACCGGATTGCACTCGCCCCCAACTTACTGCGGTAGGTCTTGGGGACGTGGGCGACTGCCATGCAACCGAACACCCTCAGCATGTCCACCGGCGGCTTCCTCCCAAGCCACCTCTCCAACGGCACCCACGAGTCATCCCCAACCTTTGTGAGTACCCTGTTCCTAGCGACGGTAGCGTGCCAAACAGCATGGGGCCACATCAAGTTGCTCAACCCAGATTCTATGAGCAGCGCCCTAGCTGTCTCCAGAATTGTCCGGTTCGCCCGTTCTGCTACACCGTTGGACTGTGGGGTGTAAGCCGTGGTCAGCTCCCTCTGGATGCCCTGCTTCTTGAGCCAGGCCGTCATCTCAGCTCCAAGGAACTCACCACCCCGATCTGTCCTAATCCGCTTCACCACACACTCCGCTTGTTTCTCCACGAACGGCAGCCAATCGTCCCGAATCGTGGAGGCGGCGTGATCTTTCTGCTTCAGCGGATACGCCCACATTAGCCTGCTCCAGTCATCCAGTATGGTTAGGAAGTACCGCTCCCCCTTGCGCCCTTGCACCAGCAGCGGCCCCACCAAGTCCATGTGGACCAGCTCCAACGGCTTTTTGCTCCTGCCAGCCACACTATGGAAGGGGAAACGGGTGAACTTTGAAAGGAGGCAAATTTCACAGTTATCATCGGTTGGTTGTCCGTTCAGCTTCAAGCCCTTAACGGCTCCATCCTTCTCCAGTTGCTTCAGCAAAGGCATTGCCACATGCCCCAAATGTCGGTGTGCCGTTGCCCAATCTGTCTCCCCAGATCTGGCCGACACTTTCACACCAACCCCTCCAACGGCGTTGCACTCCCCCTGGGATGCAGACCCCTCTCCAGCCTGCCCCCCACCATGCCACGCCAGCGCCGGCAGCTGCCACATAGATCTGTACACGTCCTTGCTCTCGTGCAGATCCCAAAGCACCCGATTGCCCAGCTTCCCCTTATAAGTGCGAGCCCCATCTGTGTTGGTGTTCAACCCAGCCTTGCCAAGCTTACGAAGGGAGATAAGGTTGGCCTTCAGGTCGGGGACGAGGAGAACGTCGTGCAGCACCACCGGCTTGCCATCCGCTCCCTTAAACGCAGCTTGTCCCGCACCAGCCACCTTCAACATGTGTCCAGAGGCAGAGCACACCTCATTAATCGGTGCAGCGCGTACGTCGTCCAGCAGGTCCTTGCGCGGCGTCATTGTCCAAGCAGCGCCTGTGTCCAACACCCAATAGTCCTAGGGGTGCAGCTCTGCTCCAACCTTAGCAGATGCGTCTCCTTGCTCCCCCTTGTCTCCCATATGGAAGAATTGGCCCGCGGTACGCTCCTTCTTCTTCGAGTTGTTGTCGGACGAATCAGCGACCATGTTGGCGCCGTTTTTCTGGTATCTCCGCGCGCCGCCATCCTGGTGACGATTCTGGGGGGTCCATCCATCGGGTTTCTTATAGCACAAAAACCAGGGGTGCCCTTCCTTCTCACAATACCAGCAACTCCCTTTCATTTTGCCACCAGCACCCGACTTGCCCCCACGTCCAGATTTCACACCGCGACCCCAACCGGTACCTCCTTGTTGGTTGTTGGAGTCGTCGTCTTTCTTTGCACCGCGTCCAGCACCACCGAAGCCACGTCCTTTGCCACGTCGGCTCCCTTGCATCCCGTAGCCGCTGCTGCCGTCGTCTCCACCCCTCAGTTGGCGGCGACGGAAGTCCTCCTCCAGAATCTTCGTCCGCACCCACTCGAGCGTCCACAAGCTCTGGTTCTGCGGCAGGCTCAATCCGCTCGTGAATTGAAGCCACGATTCCGGCAGCAGCGAGAGCATATTCAGGCACTTGGTCTGCTCCGGGTAGGTGATTCCCGCGATCGCCAGCTTCGCGTAGAGATCACGCATCTTGTCCAGGATGGGTTGCACCGGCTCTCCCTCGCTTAGGCGCAACGCGGACAGCTCCCTCTCCATCATGAGTGTCGCAGCGACGGAGGTAGGGGCGTGCAGCTCCTTCAACACCGTCCACGCCTTCGGACCGCACTCAACCTCCGGCAGCAGGTGCATGACGTGGTGACGCTGGTTCAGCTCCAAACTCTGCGACATCAAGTAGTAGCCAGCCGAGGCGCGCTCGTCCCAATCTTCCTGCAGCGCGGGGTCACTTGGTCTAGGCTCCTCCCCAATCATTAGTTTCAGCAATCCAATCTGACGGAAATAAGGTTGCATTTTCCAGGCCCAATCATCATAGCCCTCACCATTGAACTTCTCGACGGTGAAGTTTTTCAGCACCTCCTTGATCAGCGAGCCCTGGCTTGTTCGCGCTCCCCTTGGCGCAGAAACACCAGAATTATGGCTGCCGCTACGATCTTGGGCTGAAGATTCACCAGCTACCGCCGAGGTGTTCCCCGCCATAGCTACCTATAACGAGGATCACTATAACGCAGCTCTGATACCAGCTTGTTGGTGTAAGGGCCTAATAAACTCAAGCTATTAAGACTTTATCAAACTTAAAACCTCTCCTCGGGGTCACCTCCAAGGGTCCTTGGGTGCCTGGTACAAGATCAGCCCCTATCCTCGGGTCCGAGTTTGTAGAGAGAGGGATCAAGAGGGGCTAAGTCAAAACAGCAAGAGTACCTTGAACGTCGCGCAGCGTATCGTGCAGACCGTCGATCAGATTAAGCCGAGAATTTCCTATATCGAAGCTCACTCTACGAGCTTTAAAATAAGCCAAGTTGCCTCGCGAAAAGTTCTGCCATTACGAAGTTATGGCTCGGACAGCGTTAGCCTAGCGTTGGAGTGCTAGCGTACTAGCGTTGACTCGGGTAGCATTCCGCCGTCGGACTGTGTAGAAAGGAAATTCCAGCAAGGAAGGAATTCGCTTGAATCAATTTCACTATATTCAGATACAAACAGAGAAGGAATAAATAGCTCTAGCTAGCAAGGACCTTGGGAATCAACCTGGGAACAACCAGGGATGATCCCAAATAATTCCAAGCAACAGAACCAACCTGGCTGGACAAAATAGCAGGTGGTAGGTTGGTGAACAACCTCTGGTTCTGTTTTTCCAACATGGGAAAACAACAACCAGGTTCAGGTCCTAAAAACAGAACCTGTTTTGTCTTTGCCCAACCAGCCAAATGCTGGTTCCGCTGGTTTCCCCTGGCCCTGTAGCATGCAGATACAGACAAACAACATCCAACCTTCACCTAAATTGTACCCCTATAGTGCCTGCCCTGCTACACTATAGTCAACCAAACAAAACAGTACAATTTCGAGTTGGATGGAACTGAATCTGCGCAATCAAGTAAGTTGAACCGCAAAGCTTCCATCTTGGGTTCCTTTGCGAGCTCGTCCTTTCTGCTTGTACTGTTCATAGCGCGTATAATGTTATGCCGAAGCGCACATTGTGCGAGTACCTGCAAGCGAAAATTGCGAAAGCAAACAAACACACGAACATACCATTCACGCGCAAATGCATTCGCACACGCATACTCGTACAAACAGACGGCAGGATGTCGTGCAATATGAATTTGCACCCAACAGCGAGTACCTATCTGGATGACATAGGTGCAAGGAGGGTGGACGGCACCGCGCGATAGCTGATACGGTCCCCAAAACCTGCTGCTGCCGCTGCTGCTGCGGTGGCTGCTGCTACTGCTGCTGGTTCTGTCGCTGAGTCAGGAACCAAGCCACCACTCCAGCACCTGTATTCGGCAGTCCAGCAGGTGTCTGACGTCGCCGATCGTCACCTCTACTAGCTGCAGCAGGGGAGTCGCTAGCCGCTGCACGAGGCACTTCTCCAACTCCTGCACTTCTGCCACCACCACTCGACACGCCACCTCCGCCACTTCCGCCCGCACCCTGACTGCCCCTCCTGCCACTCCTACCCCTAGACCGCGAAAAAATCGTAATAGTAGCTGCGGTCACGTCGGTAGCGGCAGTGGCGAGGGAGGCAGTAAAGGTGGGCAGCTGAGGGACAATAAACCCGTGAAGCAGTGGAGGGGGCACAGCGCCCAGGGCAAAGGCTACCTAGCGGAGATTGCTTTCGACATTCTCGAGGGCAAACTCAAGAACCTCGATAGTGAGCTCGCTAGGGTGCTTCAGAAGGAGTGCGTCACGAACCGAGGCAAGGCGGTCAGGGAGGCTAGTGGCGATGAAATAGATATAACTTGCCATGAATAGAGGGAGCGGTGCAACCCGTGCATCAGTTCAAGCAGTGTGGTAGCTAGAATCGAGCGAGAACATGTAAGCAATCAAGTCAGCAGAGTGCTCGAACGAGGAGAGGTCAAGAAAAAAGGAACGAGAGGAAAAGTCGACCAAGAGAGACAGTGGTGGGAGTGGCGTAGCGGGCTTTGATCGCAGTCAAGAACTCATTAGCAGTGCGAACCTGAGGGAAGTGTGTTGGTGTAAGGGCCTAATAAACTGAAGCTATTAAGACTTTATCTAACTTAGAACCTCTCCTCGGGGTCACCTTCAAGGGTCCTTGGGTGCCTGGTACAAGACCAGCCCTATCCTCGGGTCCGAGTTGGTAAAGAGAGGGATCAAGAGAGACTTAGTCAAAACAGCAAGAGTACCTTGAACGTCGCGCAGCGTATCGTGCAGACCGTCGATCAGATTAAGCCGAGAATTTCCTATATCGAAGCTCACTCTACGAGCTTTAAAATAAGCCAAGTTGCCTCGCGAAAAGTTCTGCCATTACGAAGTTATGGCTCGGACAGCGTTAGCCTAGCGTTGGAGTACTAGCGTACTAGCGTTGACTCGGGTAGCATTCCGCCGTCGGACTGTGTAGAAAGGAAATTCCAGCAAGGAAGGAATTCGCTTGAATCAATTTCACTATATTCAGATACAAACAGAGAAGGAATAAATAGCTCTAGCTAGCAAGGACCTTGGGAATCAACCTGGGAACAACCAGGGATGATCCCGAATAATTCCAAGCAACAGAACCAACCTGGCTGGACAAAATAGCAGGTGGTAGGTTGGTGAACAACCTCTGGTTCTGTTTTTCCAACATGGGAAAACAACAACCAGGTTCAGGTCCTAAAAACAGAACTTGTTTTGTCTTTGCCCAACCAGCCAAATGCTGGTTCCGCTGGTTTCCCCTGGCCCTGTAGCATGCAGATACAGACAAACAACATCCAACCTTCACCTAAATTGTACCCCTATAGTGCCTGCCCTGCTACACTATAGTCAACCAAACAAAACAGTACAATTTCGAGTTGGATAGAACTGAATCTGCGCAATCAAGTAAGTTGAACCGCAAAGCTTCCATCTTGGGTTCCTTTGCGAGCTCGTCCTTTCTGCTTGTACTGTTCATAGCGCGTATAATGTTATGCCGAAGCGCACATTGTGCGAGTACCTGCAAGCGAAAATTGCGAAAGCAAACAAACACACGAACATACCATTCACGCGCAAATGCATTCGCACACGCATACTCGTACAAACAGACGGCAGGATGTCGTGCAATATGAATTTGCACCCAACAGCGAGTACCTATCTGGATGACATAGGTGCAAGGAGGGTGGACGGCACCGCGCGATAGCTGATTCGGTCCCCAAAACCTGCTGCTGCCGCTGCTGCTGCGGTGGCTGCTGCTACTGCTGCTGGTTCTGTCGCTGAGTCAGGAACCAAGCCACCACTCCAGCACCTGTATTCGGCAGTCCAGCAGGTGTCTGACGTCGCCGATCGTCACCTCTACTAGCTGCAGCAGGGGAGTCGCTAGCCGCTGCACGAGGCACTTCTCCAACTCCTGCACCTCTGCCACCACCACTCGACACGCCACCTCCGCCACTTCCGCCCGCACCCTAACTGCCCCTCCTGCCACTCCTACCCCTAGACCGCGAAAAAATCGTAATAGTAGCTGCGGTCACGTCGGTAGCGGCAGTGGCGAGGGAGGCAGTAAAGGTGGGCAGCTGAGGGACAATAAACCCGTGAAGCAGTGGAGGGGGCACAGCGCCCAGGGCAAAGGCTACCTAGCGGAGATTGCTTTCGACATTCTCGAGGGCAAACTCAAGAACCTCGATAGTGAGCTCGCTAGGGTGCTTCAGAAGGAGTGCGTCACAAACCGAGGCAAGGCGGTCAGGGAGGCTAGTGGCGATGAAATAGATATAACTTGCCATGAATAGAGGGAGCGGTGCAACCCGTGCATCAGTTCAAGCAGTGTGGTAGCTAGAATCGAGCGAGAACATGTAAGCAATCAAGTCAGCAGAGTGCTCGAACGAGGAGAGGTCAAGAAAAAAGGAACGAAAGGAAAAGTCGACCAAGAGAGACAGTGGTGGGAGTGGCGTAGCGGGCTTTGATCGCAGTCAAGAACTCATTAGCAGTGCGAACCTGAGTGAAGTGTGTTGGTGTAAGGGCCTAATAAACTGAAGCTATTAAGATTTTATCTAACTTAGAACCTCTCCTCGGGGTCACCTTCAAGGGTCCTTGGGTGCCTGGTACAAGACCAGCCCTATCCTCGGGTCCGAGTTGGTAAAGAGAGGGATCAAGAGAGACTTAGTCAAAACAGCAAGAGTACCTTGAACGTCGCGCTGCGTATCGTGCAGACCGTCGATCGGATTAAGCTGAAAATTTCCTATATCGAAGCTCGCTCCAAGAGCTTTAAAATGAACAAAGTTGCCTCACGAAAAATTCTGCCATAACGAAATTATGGCTCGGACAGCGTTTGCCTAGTGTTGGAGTGCTAGCGTACTAGCGTTGACTCGGGTAGCATTCCGCCGTCGCACCGCATAGAAACGAAATTCCAGGAAGGGAGGAATTCGTTTGAATCAAATTGACTATATCCAGGTACAAACAGAGAAGGAATAAATAGTTCTAGCTAGCAAGGACCTTGAGAATAAACCTGGGAACAACCAGGGAGAATCCCAAATAATTCCAAGCAACACAACCAACCTGGCTGGACAAAACAGCAGGTGGTAGGCTGGTAAACAACCTCTGGTTCTGTTTTTTCAACCTGGGAAAACAACAACCAGGCTCAGGTCCTAAAAACAGAACCTGTTTTGTCTTTGCCCAACCAGCCAAATGCTGGTTCCGCTGGTTTCCCCTTGCCCTGTAGCAAGCAGATACAGACAAACAACATCCAACCTTCACCTAAATTGTACCTCTATAGTGCCTGTCTTGCTACACTATAGTCAACCAAACAAAACAGTACAATTTTGAGTTGCATAGAACTGAATTTGCACAATCAATTCAACCGAACCGCAAAGCTTCCATCTTGGGTTCCTTTGCGAGCTCGTCCTTTCTGCTTGTACTGTTCATAGCGCGTACAATGTTGTTCCGAAGCGCAAATTGCGCTAGTACCTGCAAATGCTTCAAGCGAAAATAGCGAAAGCAAACAAACACACGAACATTCCATTCACGCGCAAATGCATTCGCACACACATACTCGTACAAACAGACGGCAGGATGTCGTGCAATGTGAATTTGCACCTAACACACTCCCCCTCGGCCTGCCGGCTGTATCCCTACTAGTTAATGCTCATTCCACTCATGCGCATACAACGCCAATGAGGCTCATCCGCAAGCCTCTTGGTGAGGAAGTCTGCTGGCTGCTGGTGAGTCTTGATGTAGATCGGATCCACCGTCCCCCTCTTCACCTCCTTACGCAGCCAGTGCCACTTGATACGCATGTGCTTGTTCAGCCCATAAAATACAGTGTTCTTGGCCATCCCAAGAGCTCCCTTGCTATCACAAAACAGTGGCGTAGCAACCTTTTGCTCCTGGCCAATCTCCTCTAACAGCCTTCTCAGCCAAATCACCTCCTTCACCCCATGGAACATCGCCATGTACTCTGATTCCACGGAAGAGAGTGCCGTCTCGATCTGCTTCTTTGACCTCCAACTAACAGGTCCTCCCCCAACTACACAGATGTATCCTCCCAGAGATGAGGAATCCTCCTTCTCAGAGGCCCACGTAGTATCGGTAAAGCAAGTGAGAAACAGCTTGCCTTCTCCAAGCCTCTCCCCCTTCTCTTTCAGCACCTCAACCTCCTTCTACTTCACCTGTGCAGATGCGGAGTATTGAACTCCAATGCTTGGGTGAGAGTTCAGATACTTCACCACACGCTCAGCTGCATCCATCTGCTCCTCTGACGGATTCTGCACCACCCTAGCCAGCTGCCGAACCGAGAAAGAGATGTCCGGCTTTGTGTGAACTGCTGCATACAAGAGGCTACCCACCAAGGACTGAAATGAATGCTGGTGCTCGGCTTCAACCCCTTCATCCTCTGCAGCTTTCACAAGCTTGAATTCTGCTGGCAGGGGAGTTGCAACTTTGCGCTCATTCTCAATCCCGTACTTCTCCCCCAGCTCCTTGATGAACTTCTCCTGGTGCAGCTTCAACCACCTGTGATCCAGATTCCTCTCCACGTGCATCCCGAGGTAGTACTTTACCTCCCCAAGGTTCTTGCACTTGAAGTTCCCCATCAGCTGCTGTTGCACATTTTAGATCTCCTTCAAGCTGCTGCTAAAGAGAAGAATGTCGTCCACATAGACCAGAAACAGCACCAGCTTCTCCCCCTCCCCCTTGAGAAAGAGGCTCTCATCACAGCTGCTGGTCCTGAATCCCATCTCCTCTAAAACAGCTGCCAACTTCTGGTACCAGCAGCATAGCGCCTGCTTCAAGCCGTAGATGGATTTTTTCAGCTTGCACACCCTGCCCGTACCATCCTCATACCCAGGTGGCTGTTGGGTGCAAATTCACATTGCACGACATCCTGCCGTCTGTTTGTACGAGTATGCGTGTGCGAATGCATTTGCGTGTGAATGGTATGTTCGTATGTTTGTTTGCTTTCGCAATTTTCGCTTGAAGCATTTGCAGGTACTCGCACAATGTGCGCTTCGGCATAACATTGTACGCGCTATGACCAGTACAAGCAGAAAGGACGAGCTTGCAAAGGAACCCAAGATGGAAGCTTTGTGGTTCGGCTTACTTGACTGCGCAGATTCAGTTCTATCCAACTCGAAATTGTACTGTTTTGTTTGGTTGACTATAGTGTAGCAGGGCAGGCACTATAGGGGTACAATTTAGGTGAAGGTTGGATGTTGTTTGTCTGTATCTGCATGCTACAAGGCCAGGGGAAACCAGCGGAACCAGCATTTGGCTGGTTGGGCAAAGACAAAACAGGTTCTGTTTTTAGGACCTGAACCTGGTTGTTGTTTTCCCAGGTTGGAAAAACAGAA